AATGAAGTTCTTGAAAGCACTTAAAAACGGCCTAACTCCGTTTGCACAAGGAATCGCCGCTCACGTATTTTAAATGCCGCCTTTATTGAAGAACGTGGATGCCGCCCACGGCAGTCACTCACATGGTAGCCTCTGGAACCAAGGAAATTTATTCAGGAACAGTCATCCCGCAAACCGGAACCAAGGCACTTTAATCACCGGACTGCATGCATCCTTCTGAAGGGGCTGGAAACCGCTCACTCAAGTGCCAGGAAAGCAGGAACTAGAAGGGTTGAGTCAGAGCGACGCGAGATACTTATAGCAGAAGTAGGAATGACGTCATCTCACGGCAACCAATCAGCTATCGGCACGAATCGGCTTTTCAGATGACGTAACATGATGTTTCGTTTTTGCATCTCAATTAGGTTGAAACAGTCCGTTCTCAATGCAAACAGTGGCAGCAAGAAAAAGAAGTAGAAGTAACTACTATATTACATTAAAAATAAGGACTAAACTAAATAAACATTTCAAGGAGGAGAGATGATGCAGTAAAAGGTTTAAAAATAAGCTATATTTTCCAACACATATTTTCCAGTTTGCACCAAGAATAATTCACTTGGCGCAGGTTTTAATATATGGCAACCTATTTTCCTTTTCACATGTGAAAGAAGAAAAAAGAAACATCCTACTTCAAAACTTAACAAGTGCCTAACTCACATTTGATGTTATTATTGCTTTCAACAAATATGCCAAATTTCAAAATGCGCCAGTATATAAATTCACGTATATCTTCGGAAATTTTGAATAAAAAATTCTAATTTTTTCAGACATGCTTAGAAATACATCTATTTTAAGATGATTTTAAAAATATAATATTGTAATTCAAAATTTTTTCAAAAAATTTATAAAAATGATTTATAATATAAATTTTAAAAATAAATCAGAAAAATATGGAGGAATTTTATTTGGAATGAACCTAAATTTCGAAATGTGAAAGGAAGAATCAATAAGTTTTAATAAAGAAAGAAAGATTAATAAATATATAGCAAATTCAATTAATACTGAGGAGCTAAAATTTTGAGAGCTAATTTTTACAAAAATTACAAAACTTAACATTTTGGCATAATTTGAGTCGTAGATTCGAAATATGATAAAAAACTGACATGTCATTTCAGAAAAAGTCCGATTTTGTATCAAAATACTTATATTAGTCAAATGTTATATATAAATCTAATACATATCTTAAGTCATGCTTTCGAGACATTTAAAAACACAATTTCGTCAATCGGCCCAGTAGAACGAAAGATATAGAACTGTCCCCCCTTTTTTTAGTCCTAAGGGGCAGTTTAATTTTTGCTCAGAAAGACTATTAATTTTGTTTTGGCATTTTGCATTGATTCACTACAAGCATTGTTTTTTTAAAAATTGTTGCCACTAAATATTATTCTGCATTATATTTAAAAAATTAAATAATGAAGAATCTGTGTAAATGTTTGTATGTTTCTTGCATTATGATAAAACAAGGGTACCTAGAGCCAACAAATTTTGAATAACATAATCTTCCACTCAATATGGGCATCTGGAAGCCCGAATTTGGAATTTAAAATTTGTTTCATTATTGATTTCATATTTTGTAACATTTTACACAAATTTTTTATTAACAAACTAATCAATTTCAAAGCGAGGGGAGGAGGGGGGACATTTTTATCTCCAGAGCATGACATTGTGTATCGGAAATTCTAAAGATATACTTATTTTAAAATTATTTTGCAATAGTGCTCTTAAAATGAATTTTGTGGTTTAAGTGCAAAGAACATGATATTTAATAAATAAAGGTAACACACAGAATGTTTAAAACACGCCCCCTTGGACATAATTTAAAATCTGAAACCTTTCAGTTTGGGGGGAGGGGGGTCGCAGTGTTTTTCAAATTTTTCTCGTTTGCATAAAAGTAATTTGTTTCATAATAATACACTCATGTCCATAAATTAAGGATAATTCGGAGTCACGCGGAAATTGAACTCTTAAATAAATATATCACCTGTAAAATCACTACACACATCTTCAAGAATCATATGCAAATTTCAGGAAGTAATCAGATGACACCGATGGTACGTCACAATGACGAGAGTGTAAGAGAGTGATATATAAGGAATACAGGCAAAGAAGTAAAATTGTTCGCAGGTACTTTATAAGCATTTTAGTGCAATAACTGAATAGTTATGACACAAAGGGTGCATTTGAATGATTTTTTACTTAATAGAATTATCGGCCGTCTGAAATGTGGGCGTACCCAACTGGAAGTATCAAACGAACTTGGAATTGCCCAGAGTGTCATCTTCAGGCTTTGACAACGATTCCAAGATGATGGTAATGTGAGTAGACGTTACAGCACAGGTCGCCCCAGAGTTACAACGCCGAATGAGGACCGGTATTTGGCAGTTACTGCCAAAAGAAACAGGCGGAGCACAGCCTCAGACCTGTCTCGTCAGCTCTCTTCAGCCGCTGGTACGACCAATTTCAAGGCAGACCGTGTACAGACGCTTAGGGTAGATTTGTCTATATGCTCGTAGACCTGTCAGATGCATTCCACTTACTGCAACTCGCTGTCGCCTACGGTTAGCCTGGAGTAGAGAGCATGCATTGTGGACACTGCAACAGTGGGCTTGTGTGATGTTTTCCGACGAGTCCAAGTTTAGCTTGCAGTCTGATTTTCGCCGGACTTTCATATCTACAGCTCCAGGTACCTGTTACCACCAAGAAAACATCATTGAACGACACCGTTACGGTGGTGCAGGAGTGCTCGTTTGGGGTAGAATTATTCTGGGTTCCAGAACTGACCTGCATGTTCAAATTGAAACCATGACAAGCCAAATTTATCGGGATGTCATTCTGGAACAACCTGTACGTTTGTTTCGGGGCGCCATGTGCGCACAATTTGTGTTTATGGATGACAATGCCTGTCTTCACCATGCAAACATCGTAAGCGAATGCCTTCAATCGGAGGATATCACCCGTATGGACTGGCCAACATTCTTACCGGACTTGAATGCAGTAGAGCATGTGTGGGACATGCTTGGCCGACGAGTTGCAGCCCGTCAACCTCCTCCTACATATCTACCGGAACTTCGGAGAGCATTGCTTTTTGAGTGGTGTATATCTCCCAAAATCAGATCAATAATTTTATACTCAGCATGCCTAGGTGTTGTACGGACTGTATTACATCGTCTGGGAGACATACAATGTATTAACTATCATACCAACCATGTAATGTTAGTTTTTTTGTAAATAGGTTTTTTTTTTTTTTTTTTTTTTTTTTTTGTAATTTGCTCCAGGGAGAAAAAATTGCTAATTTTTTTAATAATATCAAACATATAGCATCTGTTTTTGCTCTTTACCTTTTGTTTAATAAATAAGCTTTACAAATAAGTCAAATTTGGTTTGCTTCTAACTCTTCCTTTGCCTGATTTTGCATTATCCTTCATTTATGGACATGAGTGTATTTTTCTTGTACATTATGAATGTTATATTTACTTCAAGGTTTAAATTTGAAAATTTGAAATTACATCAAGGTTTGATTGAAATTAAGGTAAAACAGTCACTGGATTGTTTGAAATCTGCATTTAAACTAATTTTTGGCTTCTTTAGGCTGATATGCTTGAACACATATGATAAGCATGCGTTTGAAAGGTAACAACATTGCAAGTTGAATGTTTATCATATTTTTAAATAGTCTTTTATTGCAATTATTCTTTGGACATTTTCATAAATTTTAACATGATAAAATCTGAAAAATCTGGCATGGCTGATCTTTTACTGGTGTCATAATTTGAACTTCTGTTTACAGCAAATCTTCTGCTTTCTGTATAAATAGTATATTTTAATTTCTTCCAAATGTATGTTTCATTATATATATGACATTAAAATCCATTTCAAATTATTTTATTTTCTCTCATAAAAGAGAATAATATGCAAGTAATTCCTTTTCTCTGTTCTCAGAAGGAGATAATTTGATTAGAATAATTTTGATATTTATTGTATATGTCATAATTATATAAGTAGATGTTATGTTGAAGGAATGTAAGGGGAAAATGATTTACCTGAAATATAGAAAGTATAAAAGTGCATTTTTTATCCACAGTATTTGCAGTTATTATCATTATTATCAGAATTAAATAACTTTCACAATTATTCAGAATGGCTTTTTTTTTTTTTTTTTTTTCTTACAAGGAGATAAAACTCACTGATTTTGTCCAAATCATGCACAACAATAAAGAACCTTAAAGTAAGTACATTTGTAAATCATTAGTGCCCATCTGTTAAAGTAAGCAAGAAAATCGTTGGTAAAGTAATATTCATATTACTTAATTTCCTCATCTACTTGAATCGCACAGTGATATTGTGGCAAATTCCTAATGCTGCAAAATTGATGGAATTTTTTTCCTAAATCTTGTGCTATTTAAAAAAAAAAAAATCATTGTTTATTTGTCTCTATACTTATTTTTTAGGTATTTTATTCTTCTGTGTATGAAAACCAAAACTATCTATTTTCTTTAATATTTTATTACTACCATTTTTTTGGGGGGGAATAAAATTAATTTGCAAAGTTCAGATCATAAAAGTGGAATATTTTATTTAGAGCACCTCCTACTTTTCAGTACTTTTATTCACAGGAAACATGAATGCATTATTTTGAATTTTTTATCTAATAATTGAAAGGATTAAAGTATTGATTTTATACACTTGTTAATTATGTTTTCATTTGGAATTCTTTCAGTTGTTGAACCTGTTAGAGAAAAATTCAACAAAAATATTCGTTTGTGGTAAGCTATATTATTACTACTCAACTGTAATGTTTATAAATTGTTTGCCATTAAATTACTGTATTTTGAAAATTTTAAATTAAAAGTTGCAATTGTTTTTAAATGTGGTAAATTTATTTTTATAGAAAATTAAATAGTGAAAATTAAATTTATATGCTTAAAATCATGTAAACATATTAAATTATTAAATGTTATGAGGAATTAAAACTTTAACTGACAAAATGGACAAGATTATCCATGAAAGCTCTGATAGAACTATAAATGTTAACTTAGTCTAATGTACATCAGTTAATCTTTATATTAAATTTATTTATTATATTTATTTGCACAATGTTTAATGTAATCTTGATTTTATTCAGAAGGTTTAGTTTGCTCTTTTCACTTTTGTTAATTAAATTGTTAGAGTAGCCTATAAAATTAGATTTGAAATTAATTATCTTCCTAAATTCTACAATAAATAATAGTTATACAGAGAGAGTTTATTATTCTCCTAAAAATGTAATATTTAAAATAATTGTTTAAAATATGCATTTTTTACAGAAAAAGGGAAGGAAATATTGCAGTTGGGAAAAATAAGATTTTCGCAATATTGTTGGCAAAATGTATAAGAATTTATTCATACATCAACAAGAAATTTAAAGATTTTTTTTTCAATTGTTATTTAAGGGGAGTTAGAACCCCAAAATCTTCAAAAAATTGTGATTTCGGATTTTTGCATTTTCAAATTCTCTACACTTTTATCTTTCTAAAAATACCATTCTTTAATCTCTATGAAAATTAGAACTGTAAAAAAATCTAGTTTTAATTTGTCATCTACTGCTTTGATCAATGAGGATTTTTACATAAAAACACGTTTTTCTCCAAATGTGATTTTTTTATACTCGATGTACCTTTTCTCAGGAACTACTGCTCACAGGTGTCTAAACTTTTTATGGCTTATTTATTAAGTTCCCTAATATTTACTGAAATGAGCTTTTTGTAATAAACGTAGAAAAAAAAAATTAAAATTTTTTTTTGTGTGAAAAAAGTGCTAAATTTTACTATGCCTAACAAAATATCCTGTAATTTACTCTAAAATTCAAAATGTTTCAAAAGCTCATTTCAGTATAATCAGATAGGTATAATTAGAGAAAAAATTTCAAGCTTGTATCTACAGCAGATTTTGAGATAAGGTGCATCGAAAATGGCCAATTTAACACTGTCTGTATAGGGGTTTCTGATACCCCTTAATAGCATTTTAATCTGCTAGTTTTGTCATAAAAACTTGCCGCTAGGGAAGCAAGAACATCATCAATGTATTGAAACTTGAATTCTTGAATGATATATTTTATAGACTATTATTCGTAATATTAATTTTGGATTTATCTATCTAAAATATTATTCATTTGCAGTTTATATTCCCTCAATAAACTTAATATTATATTTTTCTACGTTTTAACTTCATTAATATGATACGGATTTTAGTTTTACAATGTATAACTTACTTTTCTATTTCTACAGCTGTGTAAATTATATTTTAATTTTCTGAAACTATTATTACAGTCAAAAGTCGTTAATTCGGACACCCATAATTCGGAATGATCTATAATCCGGACATCAAAACTAAAAACTTTCTGCGCATGCGCCGCGTTGACACATGCGCAGAGGCGTTCACGCGTGCGCATAAGACCTTTTACGACTGCGCATATGAGTGTGCGCAAGTGCAGAATATGTTTTCGCGCGCGCATTTTATGTATAATGGACGTATAAGCTAAATAATTATCTATTTCAGTTAATGTTGATGATTGCGTTGTTCCTTAATTTTCGAATTGGATCCGGCTTATTATTTTTTGCAGACTGTAAGAGCAATTTTATAAAAGTAAGCTTAAAACTTTCGATTATATCAAATAGAATTTCCGATATATATTGTTAATATGTAAAGGATCTAAAGCGAAAGTATGTTTTGAAATCTGAAATCTGTTTATCAATTTCACGCTGCTCGGCGGCGGGCCGCGTAATGAATTGGAAGTTGATCTGTCAGCACTATCCTTATCTTCAGGGCAGATGTTTTTATTTTTATTTGGCTTATAATTCCTTACTAAATGTAGTATTTCATCTCGATATGCTCCGTCTTTGATATGATTTAAAACAAGTTCCTCGTCATTATAATTCGCTTCCGATAGCGAAGAAAAGTGACAGAGGTTATTGAAAACGAAAAAATTTCGATTGACAAATTAGTCGGTATTCTTGACACAGCAATTATAGGACTTGAACGCGGAACTTTGTAACTGAACAAGAAATTATGTCTGTTTAATAGAATTAAAGAGAAAGTATTATCACATGAAACGAAGCAAAACTTAAACAACTTACATTGAAAGAAATGTTTAATAAAGTAAACAAATAAATATTAAGCTTTTTCTTTTTGCAAATTTTGATACCCTTTAGATCATAATTGTTCTTTATTTCATAAATTACGGTTTCATATTTTTAATTTTAGAATTTCTGCATGCCATCTTACGAGATTTAAACTGATGATCTATAATCTGGAAAAATCGATAATCCGGAATCGCCGAAGTCCCGACGAGTCCGGATTAACGACTTTTGACTGTATACATTACTGATTTTATTGCTTTCTCTAGGAGTGAATATGAATCTGTTCTTCACAATTTACAGCAAGTTTTAGAGATAGAATTTCCCTCTCCATCATCATCTGTTAAAGAAGTGAGTTCTTTTGTTGTTATTGTTGTTAAGTTCATTTTCTTAGTTTCTAATCTTTAACGAAAAATTTTATAATTTTGCCTTAATTCATTTTGGTAAGCTAATTTTTTGTTACATATATATTTCTGTTTCTTTCAAGTAGTCTTCATGCAGGAATAACAGTAAATTTATATTCAAAGCATTATAAAATTATTTTCACTTCGTATAATTTTATGCTTTTATTAATATAAATAAAAAATTCTTTATACATCATACATGCCCTAATAAATGTAAATAAAAGTTAAATTAAATTTATGGAGGAAAAACTATTTCTGAATAATCAGTTCCTTTCCCCGCTGCCGTAATTTTCCATGTTTGTCACTTGCAAATTCGTACTAGGCTTTTATATGCTGGCAGTCCCTTCTAGATTTAATTACCAATAAATAGTTAAGAATTAAATAAATAAAAAACCCAAAAGATAGCTGTTATGTAAACTATCAGTAGAAAGAAAACTCTTTCTAAGTCTTCAAAACTGATAAACTTCTTTGAATCAAACTTATACTGAATTAAAAATAGCATTATAATTTTATTTTATTTTCACGTGGACAGAACAGCTGTCCCACTGGGTTAGGGGCTCATCAACCTCTTAGATCCCCTCGATAAAACAAACAGGAAAGAAAAAAAAAAAAAGAAAAAAAAACTAGAGCTTAGGGCTGTGTCCTTCAAATATGTAAGGCAACAGAAGTTATCTGTCTGTAATCCATCTGTAGCCAGCTGGATAAGTCACTGAACTGATAGCTACTTCTATTCACATAGCAGTTAAATGGATAGGCTGTATGGAATTTGCATGGTTTTTCCTATATTGAATATTAATGTCAGTTGGTTCTTTTCATAGTATCTTTACTAAGCAAACTTTATTTTAGGAGTTTTGCTTAGAATGTGGGATATGTTACTCATATCAGCTGGGTGATGCCATCCCAGATATGACGTGTGATGATCCAAATTGCAATCAGCCATTTCATCATGCTTGTTTGTATGAAGTAAGCACTAACTGGATTTCATTTGAAATATATTATACCAGTATCTAATATTAATAAATAAGTTTTAGACTGCATGTAAATAAAGTAGTTTAATTAATGAACTGTAATAACTACTATCGCAAATAAAATATAATTTTCTATTCTATCCTGTCTTGTAATATATAGTATAAAATTATTCAACTCATTGCTAAATTTCATAATTGTTGTAATTATAAAAGGCTAATACAGTATGAAGAGTTCTGTTTTGATATGTATAATAAAACATTCTTTATTCTTTATAGGATTTTTCCCTTTAATCTCTTTTAGTATTTTATAAATAAATATTAGTTAATAACATTTGCAACAATAATAATCATAGAATAGGTGATAATTAAATATTTGTTTAGAATATAAATGTTATCATTATTAAGAAATGTGGAGTTGCATTACTGTTGCTGCTCAGGTACATAAAAAATATATGTACTGAAATAGAAGATTTAAAGGAAGAAATAATAAAGCTAATTAACGTTCAAGTTAATAACCAAGTTCCAGCACAATTTATTAATTTATATATTAAAAAGGCAGGCATTAACTTTTCTTTATAATTTTTTGACTCTTTATAGTATGATAACATTATCTTAACTGCCAAAACTACAAGGAATGTTTCTTTTCTCATGAAAATAATAACAAATATTAAATTAAGCATTTATAATATAAATTTACAGTGAAAATTTTAAAAAATGCTCTTACCTGTGGAAAACGTGAGTGTTGCGTTCGTGCAACGTCAGCGGAATAAGACTATGGATGTTTAGTGAGTAGAATTGTACTCGTGTGATGTTTCTTATGAGTGGAGCGCAGGATTACTTTTTAGCTGTATAACATTTTATAAATCTACAAATCACTTTACTTGTAATTAATTTAATATTAAAATATACATTGTATTTCTTTTACAAATACAGATTATTTCAATTGAAAGATTCAAGCATGAAAAGCTTGATTACAATCATGATGTAAAGCTACATTACATACTTTGCATCTATAAACAGTCTGGCTATGGTACTCTTTACAACAAAGTCTTTTGTTATCAATGGACTTTACGATAAAATGTCTACCATCTCCATGCAATGGTTTTTGAATGCTGAATTTACTACGTCTTCCTGTTGCTGATCTATTTCTGGCTAATTCTGCACTCTCAATAGGAGTTTGCAAAAGGAATAATGCGTTCTCGTGTCTGAAATCTAAAAGAGACTTTATATTTCCAGTAGTAAAAAGTGGTGATGTTTAGTAAGTTTAGATACGGTCTCACTTCATGTAATTTATCAGTATTGTCAAATGCAAATTTCTGCTTCATATTCCTGTACTGCAAACGTGATATTGATTCTCATACAACAGGAACAACGTTTTATTAAAGGTTTTATTAAACGAACAGCGTTTTATTAAAGGTGAACTTCCATAAGATTGAAGATATATAAGGTTGAAATATCAAACTAGGTAACTTTAAAATCCACATAAAAATAAATCATACAAAGTCATACCCATAAAAAGGAACTAGACTGCATAAAGGGGGACCAACCATTTATGTATGAATTTTTTTTTATTAGTATTAAAATTATTTTTTTTGTTTTGCTCAATTAAAATTCAATTTGTATAGAAATTTTCAAATCAAATTTGAGTGGACCCAAATCGATCAAACTGAAATTATGTGAGGTGTTTCTGTAAGAATGGTGAAATCTCCCTCTCTTCCCTGAGTTTAAAATGATGACACCTTTCAATTTATCATAAAGAGGAAATGGAAGTATTGCATGTTTTAGTACAAGAAGCATACATACAGAGGCTTACATTTGTTTTTGGAACTTGTATTTTTGAAATTTATTTCTGTAAATTTTGTACCAAGTATTGAAACACAAACTTCAAAATTTTTCTAATATAATATATTTTCTCTATTTAAAGCCGTGTTTATTGCAAAATAAATATCAAAATATTTGGAGTGATCAAATAATTAATTTGAAAAGTGTGAATCCTTAACTCACATAATAATAATAATTTAATAATTCAGACACTCAAAAGTTTTCCTGAAATGTTTTGGAGGATGATGTTTCTTGTTATGATTTTTTGTTTCAAGATTTAGCATCTACATTTGGAAATTTTTACTCATGTAGCAAAATATGTTAGCAGTTCCAGATTTGAAATGAATGACTAGTTATGTCAAAGAACTAGTACTGGTTGTCAAGACACCACAAATTAATGACAAACAGTGTTAGAAATTTAAAAAATTTTCAGTTTAAATTCATTTAAAAAATGGTAAATTATTTGAAATATTCAAAATTATTTTTAATGTTATTAAAAGAAAGGAACTATGTGGAAATGTTCAAAATGCATTGAAGTCTAGAACTCATTTCAAAATAGCACAAAGGAATTGGAAATTTATCCTATGAAAAAGCAAAAACCAAAAAATTAGTGCTTGCAGTAAAACTAGTAAAAACGAAAAATTAGTAAAACTTGCAGGGGATTTAGAACAGTTTTCAACAAAAGTTAACCATGAAACTGTCATTAGAGCAAATGGATTCAATGAGCGAGCAAGAAGGAAATTTTTGTCCACTAGAAAAACAAGGAAAATAATGCCAGGTGTTTGCAAAATTACTATAAAAAACTATTTATCCTGTTGGAACAATGTTATGTTTGAAAAGAGTCAAAATTTAATTATTTCGGTCTGAAGCTGAATAAACTCTTAATTAACCCAAATAAAGACAAAAAAAATCGGTTGATCATTACAATATGGTAACTGGTAGTTTGGCGACATTTTGGAGGCGATAAAGGTTACTACCTGGGACTTTGGTAATAATGTGAGCAGTACTCAGTTCCGATTACGCATTATTTTGTGTGGGGAAAATGAGAGATCATGGGATATGTCATGTGATATTAATGGACGAATTACGGTTCTTTAATCGGAAAAGAGGAGAATTTGGACAAGTATCTGTGGATGTATATTATTTTGTATTAAGCTTCATTGTGTGTTGTGTGAAGTAGGGTTGAATAATTTTGGGATTGTATGGCGCTGTCTAAAGTGAATTGTAGATGTGATAAAGAGAATTTTTTTTTTAATGAAATTCTATCAAATTCGGAAAAAAAAAATCGTTCAGTAATTTTATTGAATCCATAATAAAAGTGTATCCACCATGTAAGGAAGATTCGGAAGAAGATTAGGTTAGTTAGACTTTGTTAAGAATGTGAGTAGTATTCAGTTCTGATTACGCATTATTTTGTGTGAGGGAAAGGAGAGATCATGGGATATGTTATGCGATATTAATGGACGAATTACTGTTCTTTAATCGGGAAAAAATCTGGCAATTTTGTATTTGGCTTTATTCTGTGTTGTGTGAAATAGTGTTTGTGAATTTTTGGATCCCATGGCCGTAACCAAATTGAATTCGAAATGGGTATTTAGTGGTATTGAAAAGGATAGTAATAAATGTTTTTTAAGGTTGTGCGAGAGAGAAATAAAGATGTTTTATTATGTTATTTATTTTACCTGGTATTCTTGCTTTGAAAGATAAGTATGATTTTAAAGATTCTGAAACAGAAGTAAGAAAGTGTATCCGCCACGTAATCAAGATTCTGAAGAAGATTAGGTACGTTAGTATTTTTAATTATTTGAGGATATATTTTTTATGCATTGTTGTAAATGTAAGGTGGAAAGGAATTTTGGTATTATTGGGAAAATTGTTATTAGCAATGATTTAGTTTAAAGTAATTAGGATTGTAAGGTAATTTTTATTAATTTAATGTATGTGCTCATTTATATTTTAAGTAGTGTTTTTTAATTTAATTATATTTTAATGAAATGATAGTTATTTTGTGAATTTTATGTTTGTAGGAATTTGGTATACGTTTAAGTTGAAATAAACGTGCATGGAAATAATTTAAATATTTGATATTAAGTATTTGTAATGCTTGAGGTATGAATTCGTTGGTGACGTGTATAATGTAATAAATGATTTAGAGGTAAACGTTTTTGGATATTCTATTTATTTTATATGTGGAAATGTTCATATTTGTAAAGGGTAAATACTTTTTTGCGATCATGTAATTTCATATATGTTCTTTTTACCGGGTTTAAAGATTGAGAAAATTGTCATGTGTTTTCGTGAAATTTTTTTAATTTATGAGAAAAAAGCAGTGTACATGGATATAGTGAAGAGTGTGCGCAATGCCATTTTTGTGCAATTCTGGGATGTTTTTTTAAGTAAAAATAAGTCGGCGTGTACATGGTTTATGTGTATGTGTTATTTTGAAAAATGCGTAAGGAGAATGGTATTGTGAAGTTTTTCCTAATTTTGCAGTGAATATTTGTCATGATTAAGCAGTTTTGTTTGATAAAATTTCTAGCATAAGTGTAATTCGGCTAGTAGATTGTTGGAAGAAGTGTTTAGGAGATAAAAAGAAAAGAAACATGTCTTTACTTCGTGAAGACAAAATGGCGGCGGGGAAAAAAAAATAGAGGGTTGCTGTAAGAGAGTTGGTCGCCAAATTTTTGCCAAAAAATCCAAAAGTTACCATAATGTAAAGATCAACCAAAAAATCTATTGCCTGTTATTAAGCACAGCAGTAGAAGCTTCATGGTTAAGGATATTTGTTGTCTCTGAGATGAGAAATTTTATTTTTACTGAAAATAATACATATCAGTGTAAATATATAAATGTTTTTAACAAAACCTGAAAGCATCTGCAAGAAAACTTGTAGCATAAAATTTATTCAAGTTCTATCAAGGTAACCATGCTAAACATACAGCCCTAAATGATCAATTGTGGTTTATGCAGATGTCCTGAAGTAATTAAAACTCCTCCATATTTATTCTCCAGACTTAAATTCTATCAAACATGCATGAAGTAAGTTAGATAAAAGACTAAAAAAAACATATTTAATTGAAAACTCTACTAAAAGCAATTCTTATGAACAAAGGGGATATTCCTACCTGAAGAATTTAGTTGAATTCATGCCAAAGCACATGAAATAAACATGAAACATGAAGAAAACATGAAAAATAAATTCTCTAATGTTTAGTAACCAATGTTTGCAAATAAAACTGAAAAACACTAATGTCCAATAACAAAAGTTGGCCACTGTAAGAAAACGTTTCTCTATCTTTATTTTATTTTATTTATTTATTTATTTATTTTTTTTTTAAGTTCAGCAGTCCAAAACAGTAGAATATTTGATTTATTTTTGCTATATGTTTTGTTTAAATAAATATTTATTTATTTATTTTCTCTATCAAATAAACAATTGAGTGCAAAATAATAATATGTTGCCTAAATAATTGTTGAAACACAAGATTTCTAAAGATTACATCTAATACTTATTATCAAAAATCATGATTTAACAAACAAAAAAGCTAATGCTGCTTTTTACTAGTTTTATTCTGTAACTGGCTACGTTTTAATAATATGTGAAATTGGTTGCTTTTTACTTTTTTATTTGCTTTTTACTTTTTACTTTTGCTAATTGATTACTTTTTACTTTTTAATAGTACATTAGAATGCTTCCTGATGTAAGGAGTAGTTTCAATAAATTATTTGGAGAATGTCCTTACTGCAGTACAGTAAGTAATTAAAGCTTCTATTTCTTTTCTTTTTTTAATAAAGTTTTATGTAGCAGATACTGTACATCTTTATGATATTTTTTCTTGTTGATTTAGTAATCTGAAGTTAATTATTTTTATTGATAAATAAAGCGTTTGTTTGTAGTCATATACATTTGATTTAAAAAATATTAAGCATTCTGAAAACAAAAATTGTTCGTTTATAAAATTTAAGCGTTTTACAGATATCTAAAGCATTGAGTGATTCAAAATAAATGTTTAAATCAGTGAATTTATAACAAATATTTAGGATGAAAATTCATAAAATTACTGCAATATCATTATGTACATTTTTTAGATACATTTTTATCTACTAGATGGCATTATATCTTAAATTATGATTTTTTTAAAATCTGTTTTAGGACTACTAATCTACTATTTGACATCATTTTTCATAGGTCAATGAAAGGCAAACTTTCACTTTTTGAATATTTAAGCAGCCTGCATAGCTGTCAACTGTCTCCCTTTTTCATTGCATCTCCCAGTAGATGACCAAATCTTCCAATTTTTAGTTTTTACTTTAAAAAGGGTTTTCTTGCATTAATAAAATTTTTTGAATTAATATAATTTAAACTGTATAAATTCCATTTTACCAAGTGATTTTCAGTATAAGTCTTTTTGTTAAATTTTATTTCATCTGAATTGTCTTAAAATTCTGTTGTAGACATTTATAGATTTTTTGTAAAATTCAACCTATATTGAAGCAGTTAATATCTGTATTTTATTTTTTACATCAATAAATGGTATATTACTAAGATTATTCACATGATAATATGTACATAAATTATTAATTTTATTTTTATTGTATTTAAAATTTCATTTTATTTTCATTGTATTTAAAATTTCATTTTATTTCATTTTATTTAAAAGATAATGTCAAGAAAGTCTACTCAAGATTTTTTTAGTATAAAAGTGTAAAAAAAAATTACAAAAATGAATTAGTCATTTAGAATATCTAATTACATATTAACATATTTTACATCATAGTCACATTGTAAGTATTTCAGTAACCTGAATCATGCATTATAAAATGAATTTAAGTCCTTTTTGAAGCTCTTTTGAAATCACATCATCGCACAGCCCAAAAACCTCCCAGAAACTCTGTTTTTCATATTTTAACATTAGTAACTATGAGCATGGAGATCATATTGCGCCTGCTGTAAAGAACTCTGCTGTTAAATTTTGACAACATTTTATAAGAAACACCCTGAATAACCATGCAGCTCTCTCTGCATTAAACCTGTGATGTTTTATGAAGCTGCTAATTAGTCTCTTAACATAATTAAAGATAAATGCCCTTTCAGATATTTTCATCTCACCTTCTGGCAGCTCTTAGTAATGATGGTTGGCACTCTTTGTATTTATTTTGAGTTTAAATAAATTATGTGTTGCATTATGGATAAAACAGAGGAAGTATGATATATTTGAAGCTGAAAAATGTCTTATCCCACCGTGCGTTAAATTCTTATTACATAGCAAATACAGATTCTGATTTTTTCCTCCTTTAAGTTAATATAAGAAGTACTCGTGCCTGAGTAGTACATGTGAAGTAAGGAGTACACTTGTCTTGTCACTATTACTTGTAATTAAGTAATTATTCCTTCAGTAGAAACTTCTACCATGGTTATATTACTGTTTCATTGTCAGGTTCAAAATTTTCATCAGTATATTTGGTCTTCCAATCAGTTCTGGTCATCTTCTTTAAAAACATACTGTGATCTAGAGTAGAGTTTCTGAAACTTTTTTCAGTTGCAACCCCTTTATATCATTGAGATTTTTTCGCGACCCTCAAGACCCCGTGATATTTACAAAAATTTTGTGGGACCCCATAAGTATTGCGCAAATCCGACACATGCGTGAGTGAAACTGTCAATTTTTTCACTTGTACTGTAATATATTATTGCAGTTTTAGGTCATTAACTTTAATTTTTAAGACATAAAACACACTGAAAATTTTAAATAAGTAACAGACGAAATGACAGCGTTACATGCAAAGCAAGAAAAATGAACATTTATATTATAAAAAGAATGTGTCCAAACGTCTTCGAACTTTTCTTTGTCTGTATTGTCTTATCTTTATCTGTTTTCAAATACATTGTGTAAAAATATTTGGTAATTGTAAAATTATTATAATAATTTAAAGAAATATCAAAACTGCTAAAATTTTTGGGGACCTACATTTTAAGAAACCCTGATCTAGAGCATCATAGTTTACTTTTTTTGTTCAGCCCTGATGAACAGTCATTTTTAGCTTCTTATCTTAAAAAGTAATATTGTTGGGATTAAAATGGCTGATAGATACTGCAAAATTTTATCTAATGGCAGTTTTCTTTCCATATGCTTATAATGTATTAAATCCCTGTGAATGAATTAAGGTTAATTTTTAGATACCATTTTCATAATAGGAAATATAGAAAATCAACTTTATTTTCACTGAAATTCGAACCACATTCTCTGGCTAATTTTCATAAAGTCAAGACAAAAAAAATTTATGAATTGGCTTTAAACAAAATTTGCAGTTATGTAGAATAAATGGTAAATTTCAGTGCATTTGAAAGCTAAACTAATAAATAATAACACTAAGAAGAGATACAAATTTTCTAAGGTGAAAATAAAAAGTAAAAAAAAAAAAAAAAAAAAGTGTTTAATGAAAATATAAGTCAAAATTTCAAATGAAAATTTTAGAGATAATGTGATTACACATTTTTAATTAATTATTCCAGGTTTACTAAAAAGAAAATTACATATTATAGATAAAATGTTGCGTCTTTCGTTTTGAATTATTTACACTTTGTGAACTAGTTAAAAGAAGTAAAGTGCAACAGTTTTGTTCCTTATTTAGTATCAATTGTACTTATTATTTAATATTCAAAAGTAAATTTTGTGACACTTTTTATTTTCTGAACAGTTAAAATTTCTCCTAAATTTTTTAACACCTGATTGCTTAAAACTTCTTAATGCACTGTTAAACAATTATATGTTTTATGTGACAGTTTTACATGCAGTGAGCATAAGACTATATTTTTTATACATATTATTAATAATGCATTTACTTTTCTTCATTTCAGCCACTGTGGTGCACTATACCATGATAATTTCTTCCTTTAAAATGAGGATGAATGTATTTTTCTAGATCTGTTTCAGGTAATCTAATATCTGTGTTATGTTAAAAATGTAAAATATTATTAAAAATGTATGAAAATCTCTTCAACAGAAAATAAAGTTATAATATTGTTGTTATTTTTGTTTTCAGTGCCTATGTAATGTGCATCCACAAAGTAATTTGTGTTTGCTGATAAATATGGAAAAGGTTTTAGGGTGCAAAGTTACTGTATAAAAAAAAAAAAAAAAAAAAAGAAGAAGTTCCCAAAATAAAAAAGTTGCAAAAATGATGCAAATAAAATGCCTTTATTGAGTTCTAAAACAGTTACATTAACACTCTGTATTCAGTTTGAATATGTTAAAATTACACACCATAATATAAAACATAAATTATCATTTTTAAGAAGTAAAGATGAAACTCAATTGTTTTTTAAGAAACATATAATATCTGGTAACACCTCAACATTTCTGTGTTTTAGAAGGTAATCTGCTAACACTTCGAAGGGAGGAGATCAATGTATTTGGAGAAACTTTGCTGAGCATCAGTAGAACATGTCTCGTAAGAACACAGAAAAGGAGTTCAGCAGAAGCTTTTGCATCTGGATTATTCTCCAAATTTAATTTAAGATTGTCTTATTGGCAAATCCATAAAGTCGTCCCTTACAGTTGCCAACTTTTACTGTTCTTCATTCTTGTACCTTCTTTAACTGTGAATCACATCATGCAGGTATTTGTGAAATGGTCTCCTAGTTCCTATACTTATTTTTAGTAAAGTTTTATGCTCTTTATCAAAAAAATAAAAAAAATAAAAAACAAGAATTTTGACTACTGCACTACAAAAATAGACTGGGGTATTTAATTTCAAAATTTGCAATTTTTGATATCATTTCCAACTTGCCTTGAAGTAATGGTTTATTAAATTAGAATAATTCCTGGAAATAAGTTTAAATGAGGTGCAGCAAAAAATCAAGCAAGTCGTGGTTTTTTTTCCCCCTTAGCCTTGCCACTACCTTCAATTAGCTCAGGCATTCCCAAGAGCTTTCAATGGGCCAAACTACTGATCAGAGTTTTTTAACTGTATAATTTTTCTTTGGTAAGAAACAAATGTTCAGTCATGCTCAGATACTGAAACAATGAATTTCTATTCCTAAATTCTTTTTCGTTTGCATTAGGTTAATGTTTTAAGCTTTTCTAGTTTGGCCTTGACTACATACATACACACTACATATTTACAATAGCATATCAAAAACATCATAATTAGATGATAGAGCATCATATGTTTTTTATCCTATGTATATCACATTAGGAGATAGTAATTGTTAGGTTAAATCTTCCATCTTTTTAGCTGACTCAGGCTCATAATTACTTTTTTAACCTAATTTGAACACTATTTTTCCCCTTTAAACTCCCTTTTCTATCTAGCCTTAAAAAATTCCGTATTAAGTACTCTGAAATTATTTTTATATAAACCATTTTTAGCTTTTGTTTAGCTCATTCTTGGTATTTGTCATTGTGATTTGTAATTTATTTTTGAACAACTTCTTGATAAGCCTGAAGTTCAAATTTTGTACACATGCTGTTTGTGGATGACATTGCAATGAAATGAAGGGATTTTTCAAAATTTGATTTTTATTGATTTTTCTTAATTAATTTTTTTTAATTTTAAAACAATTTTTGCACATATCTTTGTTTAACAAACCAATCCATTTGCACCATCAAACAGACCGGAAAAGAAATCTTTTAAATGAAACTTTTTTGAAATTTTTAAAAAATTTTTGCACACATATCTGTTTAACAAACCAATTCATTTGCACCATCGGACAGATCGAAAAAGAAATCTTTTAAATAAAATTTTTAATATTATTTCTGATTTTTCTGTGAATTTTTGAAAATCGCACGATTTTTTTCGCATTGTTTGACATCTATAGTTATAAAATTTCAACATTTAAAAATGTATGAGCTATAAAGTTTTGAAATTTTCACAAGTTAAAGAACAAACTCTTCGTCCTGTTATAAATCAAGAATGATAAAAAGATATTAATTGGGCTATTTTCTCCATTTTTTTTAAAAGTATGTTACAACATGAAAGAAAAGGGGAGATATCGGTTCTTCAATGTCAAGACATCACACTGTTTTTCTTGCTTTTTTATAGATTTTTGTAAATTTTATTTTGCTTAATCTCGCACACCTTGCTGCAAAGAAATTAAGCTTTCTACAGAAATCGTATGCTATTTTATAAATATTTCTCTTCCATTTTCATGGATAGATTTTGCATTTAATTTTATTGATTCTATAAACAACAGACTTTAAGAATTGATTTTTCAAATTATTTACAATGAAATCTGTGTGATCGCTTTTAGTTTTTGGGTCAATAGCCCAATAACATTATTGTCCTGAATGCCACACAGAAGGTGATGTTGTCCAACTCTTTAACACTGTATTACTACATGGATTCATCTAGTAACAATATCAGGACCATAGTTTCCCTAGGGTGAACGCAGGAAGGAAGGAAGAAAGGGGGAAGTATTTGTTCTATGAGTTTGAAATGCAAAGTGTATCTGATAAGAGTAATAGACAGACTGAGTTGGAACTTGTGGCCTTAAAAATACTAATTTTAACGAAAAATCAGTTCTTACTGGATTTTATATAGTTTTTTCAGTGTTTCAGTTTAAAAGTTGATTTTCTTAATTTTATTGTGGTAAGTAATAATATGATAGGTAATTTTTTATGAGACTTTAAAATACTAACATCCAAAAAATGATAAGAAACTCTTCACCCTCTTTTAAAACAAGAAACATGAAAGAATATTAATTCAATGAACTTTCCAGAATGATTTTTAAACTAGACCCTTAAAAAAATTTATTTAATTTGATTGTAGTGTTTATCACTATGGAAAAACTTAACAATCCAGTTTTAAACTATTTCCTGATAAGCTGTCGAGCTCAAACTTTGCACTTGCGCTCTTTGTGAATGTTAATATATATTATACTATCAAAACAGAAATGGAATTTAACTAATGTAATATAAATGTAACTAGAAAGACTTTACTTTCAGCAATAGAGTTTAACTAATGTAATATAAATGTAACTAGAAGACTTTGTACACAGTATTGTAATTAGGAAATGGCAAAAGTTTGTTTAGGAACTGTTAATAATGTTTTTAACGCAAAAGTCATTCATGAAATGTTCATACCTTTTCTGGAAATTATTTCTTTATTGCTAAAAAAATAATTTTTCAGTTAAGTAATTCGGTTGATAACAAATCATCGAGATTAAAATGATGAAAATAATAATATTTCTGAACTTCTGTATCAGAAAAAAATTGTTTTCCTATTATATAAAATCGCCTTTAAATTACATCCTATTATAGTATTGTAATAGGAATTTATGTCACCTTTAAATTCTTAAATGTTACCTGTCAATGCCAATAACTGTTTCAGTGCCAAAGCACTTTTTTTTAACATACTGCTTAATAAAGAAAACGTGTGTGTACGAGATAACGTTTAAGAAGACCATCTGATTGAATGAAAATCTTAATCCTTTCCAGAATTCGGTTGGCTTAGAAAATGTAAATTAAAAAAGAGGTAATACTATAATATTTTTTTTGTTTGGAATTTATATTTCTGCTTCATTTCTGGTAGACAGCTCTTATCCCGAAATGTTAATATAAGTTCTCGGCTACAGAAGCAATTTTTCAAAAAATTCAAAATTTTAACAGGCGCGATTTCTTTTTTTTAAATCTAATTTTGAAACGATTTTTTATGTATATCTTCGTAGAAACTGACCTCTCAAACTCTGGAAAGACCTGGTAGGGGGAGTGATCCTTTAATGAAGTTTAAATGAGATTTAAAAATTATTTTTCAAGTATTTGATGTAACGGAATTGTTGAAAGTAAATAAGTGGTTAAAGAATATTATGAATATTATTGTCGAAAAATAGTTTTACCGTTAAGTAATTTGTTTAATAACATGTAATCGAGACTAAGATGATGAAAATAAAAACAGTTTTTATGACATAAACGTTTATATAAAAATCATAAAAAATAAAAAATATTTTATCCTTTAGTTTGTATTGTTATTATTATTATTTAATTAGCACCACCAGGGATGACCACTGACCTAGCATATAGCCTTTTAGTGTGTAGCCATCCTAACATTCCTTGAGGGGGAGCAGATAGTAGATACCATCTACTATCTGCTCCCCCTCAAGGAATGAGTCATCATTAATCAAAATTAAAAAAAAGTACAAAGTAACAAAAATATAAATAAAACATAACAAAAATTCAAAAGTAAAGTATAAAAGCATGATACAAGAATACATTGATAGATAATACAAAACTAAAAAATAAGGCATATATATATTCATAAATAAATGTATAACTTTTGATAGGTACAACGCAAAGAAGGCTTAACTATAAAATATTATAATAACCATGAAGAATTCAAGTTATCCTGGTTCAGGAAACACTAATTCAAATTACACATAACACCAAGGTAAAAGAACATTACGAATCAGGTTTTAAAACTTCCAAGTTTATTCAAGTCTAACAGGCATTCAACTGGCACTGCCAGATCCAAGAACAAGAAGTATACATCATGAAAGATTTATGCCCTCTTGGGCGATTAAAATATATTTCCACATAAAATTCTTTACACATTGGGCCCAGCTGAACTGTAGTTCAGAACAATCAAGATTATCAGTGATACATGAACATTTTCAAGAATCATTATGCATTTCAATACAAATTCAAGTTTGTAATCAAGAAATGTCACATCAATATCAAGAACGTGTAACTTACCATGTTTCAAGAATATCAAGTAAATTTCATCAGAATTATTGTTTAAACATTCCTGTTCAAGCATCAGATTTAAATCAAGAATTATATAACTCAAGATAATATTAAACGAATAACATTTCTATAATCAACTAAAATATTAAAAGTATAACAAAAACCTGTCTTTTTTTTCCTTCAGAATTAAATTAAAATTTTAAAAACACTTATACATTTCTACAACCTTAAAATTTTTTAATACATTTCTTTAAATATTAATATACATACTTAAATATTGGCATAGATACACATTAGTAGCATTAAGATTACATTTTCAGTAAGAAATATACTATCCCACAATATTAATACTCTTAGTATTCTAACTTAACTAATAACTGCAAAGGTCTCTTTATAGTGCCCTTTTCAGTCTTAATTGCACAACTGCGAATTAATATATCTCTACCAGTAAATAGTTTGAGAACTTTTCCTAATCTCCAGATGTTACGTGGTAAATGTTCATCATGTATTATCACGATATTGTTCACACTCAAGTCGTGCTTTGCACGGTGATTGTTCACACAATTTGCAGATTTCAGATTCAACAAATAATCTTTATAAAGATTTTGCCAAAGTTATTTAATAATTTTTCACGATATAGATGCACTTTTAAAAGAATTTCTTTAGTACTGCACATTTCATGAGTGTATTTGACAGTAGGCAAATTAGCAAGTTTCTGCCCTAGCAGAAAATGAGCAGGTGACAGAACTTAAGGCTCATTATCTTGGACATAAGTCAAGGGTCGATGATTTATCACCGCCCCAATTTCAGTCAGTATAGTTTCCAATTCTTCAGGTTGCAGTGATGTTCGACCATGAATTTTTCTTAATATTGTTTTGACGGATCGCACAAGTCTCTTATAAAATCCGTCCCACCAGGCTCCTCTTTTGATGATATACCTCCATCGAATGCCCTTTGCTGCATAATAATTCTTTGCATCGGGATGGCTTAATACCTGCCACATCTTACTGAGCTCTGCATCAGCTGCCTTCAATGTACGCAAGTTATCTGAGTATATTAAAGAGCACAACCCTCTTCTTGATACAAATCGCCAAAAAGCAAGTAGGAAAGATTTAGTTGTGAGATCTTTTGTTAGCTCAAGATGAATGCCTCTAGTTACTGGCAGGTAAATAATAGGATATAATACTTCGTATCTTCATTTTTCACAAAAAGTGGACCTGCATAATCCAGTCCTATAACATCAAAAGGATTTGATTTTCCAATTCTAGATGGAGGTAATGGTGCTATGACTTGTCGCATCGGTCGGGAGTTATAACGCTGACACAGTACACAGTTTCTTATAACACGTTTCACATTTTGTCTTATTATCCAATACTTTTCACGGAGGAACATAAGAGTACTAGATACACCTGTATGAGGAACTCGTTCATATGCATCACGTACCAGAAGATCTATAAAATGAGTTTTTGAAGGAATAATTAAAGGATGCTTTTCATGAAAACTTAAAGTTGATTTTTGTAGTCTTCCTCCTACTAACAAACTCTTTCCTCACTTAGAAAAGGATTTAGTTCATAAATGTTTGTGTTTTTTGAAATCAACTGTCTAGACTTTAAATTAAAATAATGTTAAATTTTCAGAATTTAAGACTCTTATAGAGATTGCACCATGCGGCAAAAAGACTAGTGTGGATCCTGACGTACCACATTTTGAGAAACCATTGCTGTACACAAATAACTTACTAACTTGAAATGCTGATTTAATACATGACTCTTCTCAGAACTTAGGAGTTGTAAATTTTTCGGCATGAATTGAAGTATCAATGAGTATTTAGTCT